GACAGGCACATGTTGAAACCAGATAACTCCACCATTAAGCCCACTACACCACCCCAGTATCTCTCTGCTTAGACAAGCACTTAGGCATTAAAAGAAAATAAATATAAAAATACCACAGTATTTGTTTAAACATACCAGAGTGGTTGAAGCTTTAAAAACTTCTCCTCCAGCAGATAGGTATGTTACATTGGATTCATTATGACACGCTGCTACACATGACATTTCCTACTTGAAACTCAGTCTAAGACCAGAATATCTGGTCTTGATCAGAACTCTCATCAGCATCAAAATAAACTACACTTGCCATTAACTTTGTAGACACAAAAGAGATGCTGAAAGTGGTGAATGTAATTTAACTGTGTGCTAACAAATCTAAGCAGTATTAGAAATTTTATACTTAATGTGGTACAACTGAAGGTCATCACATTTGAGAATTTTCTATTCTTTGCTACATGGAAGTAGGAGAAGGGAATGGAAACTTTCATGGATTGTGAAATAAAAACAAAGCTGACTGAAAGTGTTATCTTCTCTGAATAAAAGGTTGTATGTCAATACTGAAAGTGAGCAACACAAAATTCAGCTGCACAGAAATAGGTCTTAGAGCTATAAAAAAGCTTCATTGCCTCTTTACTTTCTACCTACAACAGGTAGCACAGGAGCTGAAGCTTTTAGGCACAGTAAATTAAAAAAGCAGACAAGAGATCATAATGCATAAAGTATGGTGTAAAAATGGTCCCACATCTCTTTAATGAGCACAGATAAGCATAAGCATCAGCAATGCCATACCTGTACAAAATGGCTAGGCAAGGAGTCTATGTAGATACTAGTGAGAAAAGCTTTGCAAGACATCGCTTAACACCAGCTTTTTAAGCACACAAACTATATCCACAAAATACAAATTCAAATACAGTGCCTAAACAACAATCTACTATTTTCCATTGTACATAAAAAGACAAACATTTTATTAAAGGAAGATCTGTTTAGTTTTGGGAAGCTACTTAACTGACCCATTCTAAGATAAGACTCACGTTACTACAGATTGGGAACATAACAGCAGTCAACACTGCTATTTCACATGCTTAGTAAAGTATTTAAGAAAAAAAACGAAAAACTATGAAGCACAGAAGGAACTTTCAAGAACACACTTATTACTTCAGCATCAAGATAATATTAGCATCAAACGTCAGTGTTTCACCCACTCAATGCTTCCAACTCCAAACATTAAATGAATGCAGGTGTTGGACTGAAGAACAAATTGAGTGAAGCTAAATAACCGGCAGAAATAAGGATGGCTAACTGAAACAAGAGAAAATACACATCTGGGAAGACCAGACTTGTGGCAATAATGTTGAAATACAGGCAGAAAGTTAAAATTCAGCTGTCTGTATGAGCAAGCAGTGCCAGTTGTCACACAGTTAAGATTTTCACAAGGTTAAGTGCAGCTTTTAATGAGGAAAGCATTTTCTCCTTTTCCATTTTCTTCCCATTATGAAAGGACAAGTGCAAAATTCCTTACTCATATATAGTAACATAGAGTTGCTCATTATAGACAAATAACAACTGAAATTCTCCTTAGTTTTTCTACTCTTCTAAGTAACTCTTATCAGCAGATTATTTTTTTTACATCAAAAACACTGAAAATAAAAATATCTTTGCATTCCAGGCCTTTGTAAGATATGAAAATTAATAGCCATATACTGCAAGTTGCACTAAAAAAGTTCAAATATTTGTGTGCAATGTCAAAGAAACTGAGTACCAGCAACTCTCATAGATTTCAGTTGGTGCTAACTGATGATTATTAGACATTAGATGATCTAAAAACCAAACCAAAACAAAAACCAAAGCCAAAACCACCAAAAACCCCAACTCGTGTTCTAGAATTCTTTGAGATGCCTCCATAAGTGCAGTACTATCATCAGTTTATTAAATGCCTCTGAAAACAAGACAAAGTGCCCAAATATGGAGTTTTGTCACCCAAGTTTGTAAGATGAAACTCTAACACATAAGTATTCTAGAATGCAAGTCCTGACAGAAAGTACAGATATACAGGAAGAAAAAAGAAAAAAATGAAAAACAATGCATACACAAAACATAACAAGATTATTTTCATGTCAGGTTGTGTGCCATTCACAACCTCAGAGACAGAATGACAATGTTTAGTGTTATCTTAACTCTCAATTTATTCTGAAATAAGGGAAATGTCTGAGCAAGAGACATTTTCTAGCCCCAGTAGGAACAAAATAAAATCCCTCACAGTGAGTTCTAATCAGTCACCAGCAGCACAGCTAGCTGATCCACAGTGAAATGAATATGACGGACTGGAAGATACGATGTCAACAGTAGAAATTACTGAAAGTGTAAGAGTTATATCTGAAGAAGGGAAAGAAATTGCATAGGTTTTGACAGTACATGTAATCTATCTTAAATGGTACAAAGTAGAGTAATTTTAAAGGATTAAAATACACCTTCAAAGTTTACCATCTTTGAGAAAGCTGGGGCAGCCTCTGTATTTTGCTTCTATCTGTGATTTACAGGGTCCTGTTCCTTGCTAGTCTTTCTCCAATTTGTCTGCCAGATCTGATTATCAGATGGCTAAAATAAATGTATTGTGTTCGTTCATGGTAACAGAACTTGTCTTTACAGGTTCTGTCATGGCTTCACTATCTTTTCCTTTGTACCCACTCCTCCGTCTGCAAATTGATTAGATTTCAGATCTAAGTTTCATCTGAGGGCCATTCTGCTGAATGCTGCATTGAAAAGCATATTATCTATTCTAGCAAGCACATACAGATGACCACAGGATATCACAGAACTGTCCTAAAGCAACAACTGCCCTTCTCTGCCAAGAAAATAGATTGTTTGATAATCTCAGGACACGTATTTCCAGAATAAGTATCTGTCACTAACATACATTCTAATGCAACCAAAGAAATAGGTGACAGTTGGATAGAAAGAAGGAAATTAAAAGGAACATATGCACAGTGCAAAGCCCAGGAAGGTAACAGGACTAAAGTGAAGAGAGACAGCAGCAGACAAATTAATGACTCAGAGAGCTACCCTATATCTCAGGAATGGTAATTGTTCACTACATGGTTTTGTTTAATCTGGTAAACCACTACAATCCTGCAAGTAAAGAAGCTAAATGAAAGAAAAGCGCATGAATGCACTGAAGCATAAGGGAACATGTATGGCTCTACACATTGTCTCCTTTACTTAAGTAAAGTTACACATGCAATCTGTAATCTGAAGTGATAACGCTGTCCTAGAAATCTCTTAGATGAATGCATCCTTGAGTGCTTTTGCTACAGGTGTGAACCATCTTCTTTGCCCAATAGATCTCCTCCTGCAATCAGATGTTTCCCCAATTTGAATTAAATTTTCCAAATATCCAATACAATTTATTAGCACTTCAGTGTTATTTATTTATCCATTAACATAAGCGCATCTTAGGTTTTGGTTTCAGTTTAGCAATTCTCTGTCTCAGTCAAAGCTTGGATGTCGTAGAACTGGCATCTGAAGAAGAGCTTTTAATATATATGAAAATCAGTGTAGTGAATCACCTAGTCAAAATTTAAGGGATCAAACTGACTGAACACAGAAGATTGTCTTCAGAACTAAAATAAAATGAAGGCTATATCTTAAAAAACACAAACCTGTTTTTCACCTCATGCAGCATTTCTCACTTTTCCTGAAGCATCTCCACTAAGTTTAATTTTTCTAAATTGTATATTGGAAGCTTCATTGGTAATTATATGTAAGCATGGTAAAATTAAAAAAAAACCTTAGTGCAGTATAGCTTTTGGTAACATTTGTCATTCTTCTTTATTTAAACTATACTCAGCCTTTCATTATTTTTTTAGCCAATAGTATTAATTCCTAAGCATGGCAATTGGAACACACTGAGGTATAATTATTGAGAAATAAATAAAAAAAAAAAATCAAAACACTTGAAAAACAGAAATTAAAAAGTGAAAGACAATACACCTACATATTTTTTTAACCACAGCACAAACATATGGTCATAGCAGCAGGATGCATTTTCTTTGTATACTGAGAAGGTTCTAAGTATTTTATGACAGTTATAAAGGGTCAGTCTTGGCCATACACAAGAATCAACAACCACCATGTAAAGCTTACAGCACTGCGCACTAACAGGCTGTAGGAGGCATTAGCACTAGCTAAAAGAAATAACTGTATTTTCAATGAACTTGTTCCTCCTGGATAATCAACTTTTTACACTTCTTACCAGCTGTTCCCACGTAGCTCAGGTATTGGAATGGAAGCAGCTGTCATACAGAATCCATATATTACATGCATGTTATGAGGTTTTAATCTGTCATAGATGTTTTATGTTTGCTAATTTTGATCAGTCATATCAACTTGAGAGCAAGATGAAAACAAATTCACCACTTCTACTTAAGCAAGATGTAATCTACACAAAAACACTAATCTGGCTTGATTCGTTCTGGATGGTAAAAAAAGAATACTAATTGCGAATCTACTAATGCCCCATCCTCAAAACTCCTTTATTCCAGAAGTAAGATTTCATCATTAAAATCAGTTTGCCCCACCGCCCACATTCAAGAGATTTGTCACAATCATTGTTTCTGAAATATTGAGTTATAAGGTGCCGTAGTAATTACTACGGAATAAATAGCAATTAAGATTGTTCACACAAACAAGCTCAAACTGTTTGCAGTGACTAATTATGCTAATAGTGGTTTTCTACATAATTTGTGCATCCTTCATAACAATTTACTAGAAAATGTGAAATGTAAATTTGATGCACTACTACAAAAGCTCTGAAAATATGTTTAGTTCTTATGATTTTTCCCACTAATTCAAGAAAGCACACAACTAAAACATACTTCTACATTTGCACATTTAAATTCAAAGAAATCAAACTATGCTGAAATCGAAACAGTCACTTTCTTTCTTTGTATTCTTAGAAAATCTTCCTAAACCATATGCAACAGACATGCTCATTGCTTAAACCTCACAATGTGGCAACAGAAATTTTAGTGATTTGAAAGAAGCTGAACTTACTGCTATATAATAAACTTTGGCCTTTTCCACCAACTTCCAGTTCTTCTCCAAATCAAGATGCTTTTCCTTCTTATAGCAATTAGCAGCAGCAAGGTTAGCTACAAGAGACCTGCAAGTGATTAAAAACCAGGCATTAGATCCTCTTTTAACTAACACTACCGTAAATTTCTCACAAAGAACAAAATTTCTCAAAGATAATCAAAGATCCTAAGGAACATAAAAACAATTAAGAAAGAGCACCGTAAAACATACACTTTATTTGACCTTTCCATAATATTTAAATAATATATTTTAAATCATACCGTAAATAACAATTTACATTTAAATCATATATTAAATAATATATTTTAAATCCAGCTTATGTAACCTATAACTATTATACTGTTCGCATGCCTTCATTTGTTTATAATAAAACTTCATTGCATTTTCTGTTCAACTCCCTCTGTATGGCATAGCATGTGCAGATTTTCATTAAAACTCTTCTAGTACCTAACACCTAAAGGAAAGTAGCTACTCCAGTTCATCTTCTGACAACTATTTCTGCTCACCAGAACCAAAATGTTGATGTGTACGTACATCTTTCTTGACTTTATCATCTTCCAATGAATAGTTATATTATTTTAAAAGCAGTTCGTTTGTTTGTGTCCCATGTCCCGTCCCATCCGTCCGTTCCCCCCCCCCCCCCCCCCCCCCTTAGGTTCATATTTTCCTTTAGCAAACAAAAAAGGGTTATATTGCTGCTTTTAGAAGGTGAACTATTAAAAAAACCCCAAACCTTTGGCTTAGCTGTGTATTACTGGAAAACTACCAAAACCTCATATGTACTTCATTCTTTCCTAACAAGTTATAACACACGCCATGGGACACAATTTCCATTAGCAAGAACAAAAATACCTGCATCATATTTATTTTGTTACATGTAAGATACATTCTATTTTAAATCCTTCTCTTCAGCCATTCAATTCAGCCTTATGAAAGACACAAAACTTACAGATGTACTCCTAAAAACAGGTCATAAAAATACGGTTATGCACTAGCTCTCCTCTGTCTACCATGACCAAATCCTTCTGTGCAATTTTATTATGAGAATGTTTAATAATATCCAATAATTAAAGAAGGGGAGTTGGGGGAAACAGACATTTCCATGCTGGCAGAGTCTTAAATTTAACTTTCAAGATTTAATAGTCTTAGGCTGCACCTTTAACATTAACACATCACTGTTTTGTGAGATTTAAGTACATTAACCAGATAAATAATGTGTAATTACACATACAACATATGGCTATTGAAAACTTTTGCCTTATCCAACAAACAACAATTGATGTTGTATGTATCATCCTTTTCCATATAAACGCTACTACAACCTAGAGACAATGGGTCTGAGTGAATTGCTAATCTCCTTCTACTGAATTACACTTCTGTCTCCAGACTGAGTACCATGTACAGGTGTTAGGACCTAAGTAAACTAGGAATTATTGCAAATGTATTCCACCTCAAAACAGCATCTTTCCACTATCACCATTTCTCTTTGTCCTATTCAATTAAAAAAAAAAAAGAAACCAAACAAAAGCCCAAAAGAATCTCTTATGAAGACAGAACCAAGCCTCTCTGTAAACTTCCTGAAGCACTCATCACTGACAATCCCTGTAAGTTTAACAGATCAAGTATATAAAAATGAAACCAAAAAGTTTACTTTTTGTAAACTAGCTTTTTCTGAATATAACAAAATACATAGCACAGTTCTGTGTCATTTCATCCCAGGAAAATTCTTGGGGCTTATCTCTTTAATTCTAAAGCTTAAAGGCTGTGAGAACTCAAGTGGACTTGGAAAATTAAAAAAAAAAAAAACCCAAAACAAAAAAACCCAAAAAAACCCAAATAGACCAAGCCTCTGTAGCAGTACAAGTACCAGGGCAAGAAGTTTCATTCTTGATGAATATCGTCATTTCAATGACTGGAGAACCAAGTCATTGAATCCAAGAAAGACATGTGCGTAACTGTGGTAATTTTCTGTAAACCAAATTAAAAAAGCTAATTAAATATTTCAGTTTTGGCAAACTCTAGATATCCATGAAGGATCTAGCTGGAAAAATCTTGTCCATGTATGCTGCTAAGTGAAAATCAATTATGTTCCAGAAAACAAAGCAAAGACTCCCTGTATGTTTCCTTTCACTTACCACATGCCCCTGAAACTGTAAACCTAGCTCTCTGTGGCTACATCCAACTGTAGAGACGCACTGCACATGATGCATAATAAACGACTGTTACACTGAAGACAAAGCACCAAGCTTTTCTAAATTAAAACTGTAAGTCTAACAGCACTAAGTTCAACATGTGGAACACAGAGAAGGTAGATGTTTTGTCAATGAAATACAGTAATTGGA